GTCTGCGCCGACGATGTCACGCAGACGGTGGTCCCCGAGCGAGCTCCCCGGCGCTCCTCGGCGTCGAAGGCTGCGGGAGTCTTCCTCGAGCGGGCGTCCTGGAGCAGCGCCACTCCTGCGGGATCTCTGGAGGACATCGGAGTGATACTCAACCCAGACACGCGGGCATCTCCGGTTCGGACTTCTGGGGCTGGAAACTTGGTCATGCAAACAGGTCGCGCACGGCAGAACCCTGCCCTACAGTCCACCCGCATAGTAAGGATGGGCGACTTTCCAATTCTACCCTTGCATCCTTGTCCCTTCGGCCCATCCTTGGTAATTTTCGCTTGCCAACATCGTCTGAAAAACGTGACCGTGGCCCTCCGAGGCCCCTGTATCCTTACCGCGCACCCCTATTGTACGGGCTGACTGTATCGAGGTCTTCCAGATCCTTCCTGGCGTGTACTAGGGGGGTGGCTGACGACGGCGGGCTCGCTCCAGGCGGGGGCGGCCAAACGGATCCAGGCTGGCCGCGCGGGCCTAGGCACGATCTCGAGTTTCTTCGTCCACCCCGCGGCGCGCGGTGTGAAGCGCGTGGCCGTCGTTTCGTTTGCGCGGGGAGCCCCGTTGTCGGGCGTGGAGGGGCGTGCCCCAGACAGGAGCTACGCGTGCGAGGCTGTCGCCATTCTCCGGAGAGCTACGCCGGGCCCTCGGCAGGAAGGGGCTCGCCGAGATGCCCGAAGGCGAACTCTGGATGGGGGTCGGCTCTCGAGGCAGGACGTTTCCGGCGGATCCTTCCCGCGGCAGAGGGGCAAGGGGTGCCGGAGTTGGACAACATTTCCCACAGACCATCGGCAGTTGAGGGCTTGCATCCTTGGCCGCCTGGGGGGATGCGCCGCGCTGCGCGAGGGCTGCGCCTGGCATTTCGGGCGACCTCTGGGCTGGGCAACTCCTCTTCGAAACCGGAGGAGTTCCGGGGGCCTCCATCGATTCCACGCTTCTTCGCGCCGATTTTTTCGTTTGGCTGAAACGTATTGCGCCTCCGGAACACCTGGCCTCCCGCGTCGAGGGCCTCGTCGCGGAGGGCGAGGGGGGGAGAAGGAGGCGCATCCCAGACGTTTCAGGTGCAATCTTCGGGGTGACGGCGGGCAAATCCGTGGGGCCCTGTTCCCCAACATTCAGGCGCTGCTCTTGCGCGCGGGGCGTTTTCGCAGGGTTCGCGACGAGGCCGCGCTGCCAGATGCCTCCAGGTACTGAGCACCAGAGAGAACACGCAGCAGCACGCTATGCCGAGTTACGTGAGGAATATTTGCACCCGTGGACGCAGCGCTTGCAGAGCGCGCGAGGTCATTCCTGAGTCGTTGGAGTGTCCAGTCGACAGTTTTTCCTCAAGCTCTACTTGAACTAAAAGAGCGCGCGCGACTCCACTGCTCCCTGCTAGCGCCGAGGGTATTCCTTCAAGACCATGGTGGCCGCCTCCTCCGCGGCGGCATCGGCTCCACGACAGCAGGAGATGGGCCTCTCCCTGCTCCGTGAGTGGCGCGAGCCCGGCGCGGCAGCGGACGGGGAGAGGGGGCGGCGTTCCCAGAAGAGCAGCAGTGCGGGCTCAAAGAGCTCGCGGACGAGGCCGAGGGCGGGCTCGTGGCGGCCGAGTCGGCGCTGAAGCAGAGGGATCTACAGATCGCCATCGACACTGTGCTGAAGGTGGCGTACCAGCGCGCTCAACAGCTCAGGGACATGCCGGCGTCGGAGTGGGTGATCAGGCTCATGCCGGTGGTGGCTCTCGTGGTCGTGGCGGGGCGAGGGGCGGGCAAGCTGTGCGCTCAGTGCGCTCAGATCGTCACGGTCAAGCCGCGGGCTTCGATGGCGTGGCCGACGTCTTCGCCTGTTCGTTGTTCGAGGTGGCTTTCATCACGGTGGCCTTCCTCAGCCTGTTCTCGGTCCTTTCGGTCCACTACTGAGGACGGCGCAATTGCGCGTTTTTCAAACCTCTGGCCAGTACGCGTGCGGCTGGTCTTTGTCAGGACAAAAAGAACCACCACATTTGTACATCGCGCGCGCCGTGCACAAGTGCCTGAGCGAGTCGGAGGTGGTGAAAACAGCATCGGGGACGAGCCACTTGGTGATATGGCGACTCTACAATCTGTTCGTCTCGAGCACTAGCACCTCGATGACGGAGTTCGGGCTTCTCTCTCAGCAGTTCCAATCAGAACGTGCTACAGCGACCAGTTCACTCGGGTGCAGTTCGCGATCGCGGACCAGATTATGTTGAAGGCGGATTCGGGCGCGGAGGTCACATACTCGACTGGACCTCGAGCGAGCCACGATCTTCCCGCTTGCGGCGATGGGCGGCGAACTGATTGGGCACGGTTTCCGCAGGGTCGCCTGGGGATCTTAGCCCCGACGCTGCCGGGCAAGGGCAAGGGCGAAGGCGCCAAGTGACATCAGTGCAAGAGGAACGGCTGCGTGCTCTCCGCGCCCGTATCGTCCGGAAGGAGAGGGGCAACGACAGCTGACTGCAAATTTCTCGAGCTGGAAACAAGCAGCCCGCCCATGCCATTTTTCCTAGTACCATCTCCGAAGCTGGCTTGTTCCGAGACGGTGGGGCTTCTTTATCATCTCTGTGGCCGTTCCTATGAGTCGAGCTGAAACTACTTCCTCGATTTCCTGACGGGCAGCGGCTGGATTTTTTCTTCTGCATATCTTTGGGCTGGACATTCTCAGTCGTGGATTTGCCTGATTCTATCTCGTTGCGCATGATGGCTGGCGCCGTTGGCTCACCAGCTTCCGTGGCCAGCCTGGCCACGTCCGCCGGCTCGGGCGGCGACCTGGCTCGAGAGCCGACCCTCCGCGTGCCTGTGCTTCCTCGGGGTGCTGCGGCTGCGGGCCCTCGTGAGCGCGGGCTTCGTCCAGGCTCCGCCCCGCCGTCGGCCTGCGCCGGCCTCGGCCCCCCCCATTCCGCGGCCGTGCCCGTGTCCCCTCCCTCCCGCCGTGCAGTCGAGACCTCTCGTAATGATTCCTCCCCCCCCTCGCGGGGGGCCAGGTGGCGGAGGTCGGCCCGCGCCCGGACGAGGAGGAGGAGGAGGAGGAGGAGGAGGAGGAGGAGGAGGAGGAGGACGAGGAGGAGGAGGAGGAGGAGGAGGAGGAGGAGGAGGAGGAGGAGGAGGAGGAGGAGGAGGAGGAGGAGGAGGAGGAGGAGGAGGAGAGGAGGGAGGAGGGAGGAGGGAGGAGGGAGGAGGAGGAGGGAGGAGGAGGAGGGAGGAGGGAGGAGGGAGGAGGAGGAGGGAGGAGGAGGGAGGAGGGGAGGAGGGAGGCCCCTCGGGGGGCCCAAGGTGGCCCTGGGAGTTCCTCGGGGTGGGGCGGGTGCCTCGGGAGGCCCGCCCGCCGCTCGCCGCGGCGCGGGGCTCGGGTGCGGAGGGGCCGGAAGGGCAGCGCCCCCCGCCCGCGGGAGATCTGCAGAGCTCTGCGACAGCGCGACGTAGCTTCATGCTTCGCGGCGCGTGCAACTTTCGACCTCGCCGGCCAGAGTCGGCGATCGCTCGAGGTTTTGAGTGGTCCTCCTGCTTTGCGAGCCCGCAAGCCGGCCCAGCACGAAACGCACACACGCAAGGCCGAGTCTTCTTCTCCTTCTTCTTCTTCTTCTTCTTCGTCTTCTTCTTCTTCCTCCGTGGCCCTCGATCCTCCTCCTCCTCCTGCTCCCTGCTCCCTCCTCCCTGCTCCTCCCCCCTCCTCTCCCTCTCCTCCTCCTCCTCCTCCTCCTCCTCCTCCTCCTCCTCCTCCTCCTCTCCTCCTCCTCCTCCTCCTCCTCCTCCCTCCCCCTCTCCCCTGCCCCCTCCCTCGCTGGCGCTCCCTCCCTCCGCCCCCCCCCTCCCCCCCCCCTCGCCGCGGCAGGTGCGCCGCGGGCCGCGGCCAGGAGCCAGACGCGGCGGGCGCCGGCTCGGAGGCCGCCCCCGCGGGGGGGGGTGCCCAGGCCGCCTCGGGAAGAGGGGAGGAGCAGGAGGAGGAGGAGGAGGAGGAGGAGGAGGAGGAGGAGGAGGAGGAGGAGGAGGAGGAGGAGGAGGAGGAGGAGGAGGAGGAGGAGGAGGAGGAGGAGAGGAGGAGGAGGAGGAGGAGGAGGAGGGAGGAGGAGGAGGAGGAGGAGGAGGAGGAGGAGGAGGAGGAGGAGGACGCGCCGCGCCGCCGCTGCCGCCCGCGCCCGCGGGCCGCCGCCGCCCGCCGCCTCCGCGGTCGCGGAGAGGCGGCGGCGTCCGGCCGGCCACCCAGAGAGCCAACGCAGTGAAAAAGTCGAGGCGGCGGTTTTTCGCAGCTTTCGGCCCCCACTGGGCGGGTCAGGGGGCTTAGTAACTGGATCCCCTGGATCTAAACGTTGTATATGTATATTATAAGCAGATTATAAGTACACTAACCAGCGTATATCGTACCAACATGTTGTATAACTAGTTGTGAAGTCCCTCTGGTAGTTAGGCCACATAGGCTATGCAGCTTAGGCGGGTTGGGGGCTTTGTATCCTACTTAGCGTATTCTCATGTTGGACATAGAAGTGATTAGCGATGTTGGATCGAAGAGGATGTAAGTACGGCGTATCCAACTTACTAAGTTGAGTTACTAAGTTGGTTAAGGCTGGTTGGGTGGTTGGCTGGAGTGCGTTTCCTGAAAGTATGGTTCCCGATCGGCGTCGGAGGAGACCGCACTTTTTCTTGCAGTGGCGCGAGCGTCGCCGTTGGCTTTCGTGTATTATCGATTTGGTGATGCGAAATGTTGATTCCCAGATTTGCAATTCAGAGCGCGTCGCCCCCGCCGTATTTCTCAAACCATATAGGGTGGATGCTGTAGGAGGGGGTGCATGGTGGCCCTTACGAGCGCCCTCGGAGTCGTGCCCCAACGGGTGTTCAGACATACAATAACAACAACAACAACTTGAATAACCCAATGGCTCCCCTGTTCAGAGGCGTTGTGGCTCGAGCATTTTGCTTGAGGCAGTTTTTTTTCGGTCAGTGCCGACAGGCCCTCTGTGAGCAAGCATGCCGATGCATCAGAGCTTGCAGGCCGTGCTGACGGATATGCACGCGGCGCTCGCGGAGGTGTGCGCGAGGTACCAGAACTCTGACAACGCGGAGGCACCTCAGCAGAAGGCCGCCGCCGACCAGATGATCCAATTATTATTGGACAAACAATTGGCTTACCGTTTGAAGGCCGAGCCAGACGAAGTCGGAGTTCACCCTGATAATCGGTATGGGGTTGGAGTGGAGTGGTATGAGGTCCACACGTTGGCGGGCATCATCATTCGTGGAGGGTGGAGTTGGTCTGAGGTGAAGGACCCCATCGCGATTGAGATCGCGCAAGGTGCGGCTGGCGACGAACAGCTCCGCTTCAACGAGGGGCTCGCCGCCAGCAGCGAGGGCTACTTGGCCAAGGTCTCGGCCGTCGTGAAGATACTGAGCATCGCGTGCAGCCACACCAACCAGGTGCTCCGCTGCATCAAGCACAAGACGAAGTCCCACGAGATGGAGTTCACCAACGACGACCAGCACCTCAGCCAGGACAAAGTGTTCGATTGCTGCAGCAGCATCAGGGCCCCAGTGGCAGAGGGATTGACTTGGATTGTGATCCGCGCCGAAGTAGTGGAGCTTGTACCTGACATGCCGAGTTTTCTGTCGGAGTCACACAACATAGGACATGGCGCCAGTCGTCTTCAAAGCAAGCTGCAGACCTTGCTGCAGGTGCACGCGAAGGGGAAGCGGAACAAGCAGATCCACGGCGATCCGAAGTGGAATTTCGTGACAAGGGACATTGAGCGCACGAGGCCGTTCTTGCAAGGGCAGGTGCAGTTCATGACGGAGTACGTCCAGAACTACAGCGGCGGCGACCCGCCCACGTTTTTGACCGAGCTGAAGCACTACGCCAAGACCTTGGACACGGTTCGGGACGTCGGCAGCGTGACGTTCCACGTGCTTGGGGCCGCCAAGCTCACACAGGTTCCCGAGCTCATCACCAACATGATGAAGGCATCGTTGTGCGCGCCAGATAGCTTCGTGAGGCCTGACGGTGTTCGCTTGTTTACGAGCGCGGACGTCATGGCCGTGGAGTCGGGGAAGCTTCGTGAGTCCGCCTTCGAGTCTGTGAACATGCACCGCCTTGCCGTCCAGTACCTCTCGGACTGCGGCTTAACCAATGCCCACCTCGCGGCCAAGCTCATCGGGGACTTCGACGTGAAGATGACCATGAAGGTATTCGGGAAGCAGAAAAAGGGGCGGAAGATCTACGGCAGCCTCGAGGAGATCGGGCGGGACTTCGTCAAGGACGTCGTGGCCAAGTGGCCGCATGCGAGGTCGACCCCAGCACCGTGGGGCGTCGCGGCGGCAGAGGCGCAGGAGGAGCCTACGGCAGCGCCCTCCGACTTCGTCCAGTACGACGTCGGCAACGGCGCCGCGCCCATCTTGCGCTCGAGCGTCTTGGAGGCCAAGGGTTTCGAGGTCGACGCCGTGGTCAAGTGCGTCCGCGGCCGTCACGAGGGCGAGTGGGTGATCAAGGAGATCGGCGAGAAGGTCTGCGCGCCCTTCTTCCCTCCGCCACGCCGTCGTCGTCGCCGTCGCCGTCGACGCCGCCGCCGCCGCCGTCGTCGTCGTCGTCGTCGTCGTCGCCGCTGGCTTTTTAAACAAGGGTTTTCCGTCGTCGGCGTCGCCCCCGCCGTCGTCGTCGTCGTCGTCGCCGTCCTCGTCGTCTGAGGGAATGTCTGCCCTCCCCGCGGGGGCAGAAATTCCCTCGCCCTCCGCCGCCCCTCAGGTCAAGCTGGCCCCTCGGGGGCCCGTCGCGACAGCTGGCCCCGCCAAGAAGCGCGCGAAGGCCATGGAGTTCGCCGTCAGCATCGGCCAGCTCGTCGACGACTTCGAGTTGGTCAAGGCCATGGACACGACTACCATCAACGCGAGCGGCGATGCAGCGCTCGACCTGCTGAACATGGAGAACGCCCTCGAGAATAGGCGCGCCTGGTTCAGGGTCGCGCTGAACTGCGCCTACAGGGGGGGGATCAGCAGCGTCAACGTGGCCATCGAGTTCAGCAAGAGCTCAAAGGTTTGCAAGGTCCTGACCAAATACCAGAAGGGCGAGCTTGTCCTCATCCCGCTTACGCCATCAATCTCGATTGGGCCGAGGCCGACGCCGAACGCGATCGTGGTGGACGACTCGATGCCAGACCACAAGAGCATTATGTACCTGATGCCCAAGATCATCCTGCCCGACAGCGACGCCTGCAAGGACGGGTGGCCTTTCATCGTTCCATTTTGGAACGCCCCGACGTGCGTGGATACAGCCCTCGTGAACATGGCGCCATCTTCTATCAAGGTGCCTGTCGAAGTGCGCAGCTGCGCCTTGAACTTCGATAAGTCAGACTGCAATGCGATTACGATCCCCACGCTCGTGAACACGAAGGCGCTGAAGGAGGGCTCCGAGCTGTTCCAGAAGGCGCCTGCGCAGGCCGCCCTCGAGGGGCAGGCGCGCAAGTGATTTGCTATCGTTTCTTGCCGCGAGGTCCCTGCGCCCCGCGAGCCGTGCGATCAGAGCATCCGCAGTTTCGAGTGAACGGCGAGGCCGATATTTATGACGAGTTCGGTTTTCACACATGTTATGCAACGCGGTGGCTCTGATCCACGTTAGTGTTGAGAGCACGTGGGCACGTGGGCGTCGCTCGGCGCAAGTTGGCCCGACGCTGCGGTGAGCCCGAAGCTGTTTTCGCAAGCGACCTTTGCCTGATGTGCAACTATCGGGTGCAGTTGTGTACATATCAGGTGTTCGGTCGGTCTCGTCGGCCGACGGCGTGACGCTGCGAGGATGCAAAGTTGCGGAGATAAACGCGCCTCGCCCCGCGCGCGAGGAGAGTAAGGGGCCCTCTTGGGCCTAACGGATTTCGACATTTATGTCGAAATCCGTTTGGCCCTCTTTGGGCCCTCTTGGGGCCCTCTCGGGAGCCCTCCTGGAGCCTTCTGGGGGCCCTCTTGGGGCCCTCTTGGGGGCCCCCCGACCCCTGCCCCGCCATGCCACGACGTCGAAGTTGGGTTGGTTGCGCAGTGCGCTTGTTCAAATGCAATCGTTTCGCTCGAGACATCCTCGCGACGTGCCGTCTGAGGGCGCCGTTATGGATAGTTGCCTTCGCCCTCGTCGTCGTCGCCCTCGTCGTCGTCGTCCTCGCCGTCGATGGGGGAGAGGGGGGCGCTGGAAGAGGAGGGCTCGCAGGGCGAGGAGTCGGGGGACGAGGAGGAGGGAGGAGGGGCCGCCCCGCCCGCGCGCGGCCGCCGCCCCGCCGTATTTCGACTACCCCTTCATTGCGCAGGCCGACGCCCCGCGACCTTTCTGCTGGGAGTCGCTCGGTTCCCCCCCTCGCGCTTCCCCCCCCGTCCTCCGCTGCGGCGACGGCGGCGGCGGCGACGACGGCGAACGACAGAAAACCCCGACTTAAACAGCCAAGGGGGGCGGCCCGACCAGGGGGGATCACAAGCTCAAAAAGCTATCGGAAACCATGGTTTAAAAGCATGCGGAGCCCCCTCCCCCTCTTCCACGTAATTTGGGTCCTGATCGACGGCGGCGACGACGGCGAAAGGTGGAAAAAACCCGGCTTAAACAGCCGAGGGGGCGGCCCGATCAGGGGGGGTCACAAGCTTAAAAACCATCGGAAATCTTGGTTTAAAAGCATGCGGAGCCCCCTCCTCCTCCCCCTCGTCATCCTCCTCCTCCCCCTCCTCCAAACATATGGAAAAGCAAATATTTGGAAACAGCTGTTTCAAGAGATGTGGTCCTGATTGCTCGCCGTTTCGCTCCAAGCTGAGCCATGATCGAAAGCCGTTCAGTAAGTTGGTGGGAGGCATTCCCCTCATGAAACCACAGTTCGCTTCTGCCGATGCTGCCCCCCCATCTCATCCGTTGCCATTTTTTGTTCAAGTCAGTTTCTGGCCATAGCCCATCGGTCAAAGCCAGCCTGCGACGCCCTTCTTGCGAGGGCTGCTCATGGCCCCCATCTCAATTCAGGCTGGATACGTCTGCGTGTCGAAGGATGGGAGTCCTCCTTCGCCGTCGAGCTCTTGGGTGGCTAATACCATCGAGATAGGCGGCAGGACCTTCGCGTATTGCGACAGGTCAGATGCCAAGTTCGCGAAGTTCTGCAACCGCGACTTCAGCATGATGGATGCGCTCATTGACGCGCGGAACAAGATCGTTTTGCAGAAGATGGCAGCCGTCGGTCGAGATGAGTTTGCTGAGGCGGATGCTGAGCCTGTGTTGAAGCGTCCCCGCAGGGAGTTGGTGGACGACATCGACCCGATCTTGGACGTGACAGTTCAGTGCAGGGATGGATCAGAGGTATCGTGCAAAGTTTTGTCTTGTGCCTCTGAGCGGGCCAGGTTGGCCATCGAGTTGTCGCCAGATTCCTTGGACATCCTGCTCAAGCAGCCTGCAATTACGGACTGCGACTTCGAGCCGCCCATGGTGCAGGAAAAGCACGTCCAGTGGCTCTCATGCAGGCACGCGCTGAGGACCAAGTATTTCGCTAACGGCAAGTGGAAGCAGAAATCAGTTCAGGTTCCGAAAGTTGGCGACCCCCAATCACACGTGAACAGGATCGCCGCTGAGCTGGAGAAGCATTACTGCGACAACCACGCCGAGCCACACGAGGACACCACCGACGCTGACGAGTGAGTCGTTTTGGCGATGCGAGGCAGAGCAACTTTCGATGCAGAGTGTTAGGGTTTCGGCGCTCTGTGTTTAGCGCCGCGCATGCCAGGGGAATGCGATGCGTATGCGCGTTGCACTTGCAAGTGTGAGTAGCCCGTGTTTTAGATGCTGCTGAGATGATATACTGCACGGGGTTGGCAGTCCATGTCTGTCTGCAGCGGCGCTCGGGACTCGCAGCCTGACGTTGGAGTTTATGCTTGCGCCGTGCGAAACAGCTCAAAGGGTCAGCAAGTCTCCGCTATATTCACATGACATAGGGACGCCAACATATGCGCATGTATCTATACATGTATCATGAAAACAGCCAGCATCACACAATCACGCACTCACGCGCGCTCAGCATCATCACGTAAATGGCTCAGTCCACGAGGTCGCTCAGTTCGCCGCGTGGCGAAGCTCAGATGCACCAACCCCTCAGGGGAGGTTGGTGCATATGCACCAACCTCTCAGGGCAGTCTGGTGCACTGCACCAGCATCTCCTGGAGGGTTGGTGCATATGCACCAACCTCCCCTGGGGGGTTGGTGCATCTGAGGCTCGCGTGGGGGTCCTTGGACGTTCGAGCCGCTTGGCGCTGATTTGGCCCTCGTCTGGCGGCGTTTGCCGATGACGTCGCGTCGTTTCGTGGGCGATCGAGGGCCCCTGGGAGCGGCCCGAGGGTTCGGGGAGGCCGGCCTCACAATCGAGATCGGAGCTGCGCTGCCCGTCGGCACGGGCGCGGCAGGGGGAGCGGGAGGGGGACTAGGAGGGAAACGGATGGGGACATTTGCTCTCGTGGAGGGTGTGGTTGAGCAATCGCAGCCACCTCGGAGCGCGCGTGGAGCCGCTCACGCGCGCGGTATCCCCGCGCTGCCCTCGCCTCTCAGCCCCTCTCTCCATCTGCCCCCTCCGCTTCCAACTGCCCGCCCCCCCATCCCCATAGGCCGTTTTGGCTCAAGCTTTTGCTTTGCTCCTGTCTGCCTGTCTGCTTCGACGAACCTTCTCGCCATGGAGTTCGAAGCCCAGCGCCTCTGCGAGATCGCGCAGCAGCGCCTGTCGTTCGTGGCCGCGCAGGTCGGCGCGGGGATGCCAGAGTCCGTCTTGCTGCAGGCTCAGGCGAACTCGCTCGTGGCAACGTTCTCTGCCTCGCAGGCCGTCACCATGACGGTGGCCACCCAGGTAACAGGCCACATCACTCGCGGCCCTTGGACGGCCGATCAGAAGCTCCAGTTGGCGACGGCCCTCAACGATGCAGCTGCCGCTCGCGAACTTCAGCGGAGGGGGCCTGCGCGGTGCCAGCAGTTATGCCTCGAGGTGCACACCTTCCTGACGCAGTCCGACTGGGCCGCCTTGTGTGACCCCATGCAGTCCGAGCTGGCCAAGGCCAATGTGGTCGGCACGCGCATGTGGAGGTGCGGAATCACTTGCCCCGCTGAGAAGACTCTGATGGCTGCTGGCGCCGTCATCTTGTGTTCCCACTACTCGGACGTCTCAGCGATCAGCGGTGACCATAAGCGCAAGACCTGCGAGAACGTGCAGAGCGTGATCAAGTCCATCGACAAGACCAAGGCCTACCCGCACGCGCACAGACCTCGCTACACCACGCCAGCAGGACTGGATGCTGGCTCCTTCAGGTTCGCGTACCCTGACCCCTCTGACCCGCCAGTTGCTTGCCCAGCCGAGGTCGACGTCACCAAGATCACCATGTGCTACAGGAACACAGCGAACGAGCGCAGGGCAAGCAGCGCCCCACCCACGGTGCCCGCCAGGCCCGCGTTTGCCAGCTCGGGCGATCAGCCGCCAGCAATGCAGTTGGCTCTTCCACGTGCGGATCGGCCTCAGTATCAGTGCCCCTTGCAGCTCCTGGCAAGCCTGGCTACACAGGCGCTCGGCCAAGGTGGTTTCGATGCGCTTCAGCCCTTGGCCAACCAGTTCGGCCTTAACTTTCAGCCGCAGATGTTTCAGCAGCCAGCCGCGCCGCCATGCGGCATCGCGCGCCCGCCGTCGGCCGCGGCGGCTGCGGCTGGGGCGGCTGATCTGCCTACCCAGGCGGTCTCGGCAGGGGGGCCCGCGGCCCCCCATCACCCGCCCGTCGACCCCGATGATGAGCTCCTCGAGCTGGAGCAGAGCATGGTCGACGCCGCGAAGGCCAAGAAGAAGAGGGGCGCAGCCGCGGCCCGTGCGGGCACGGCCAAGGGCAAGGGCAAGGGCAAGGGCAAGGGCAAGGGCAAGGGCAAGGGCAAGGCCAAGGCCAAGGCCAAGGCCAAGCCTGCGGGCAAGGCCAAGGCCAAGGCCGAGGCCGCAGCTGACCCGCAGCCTGCTGCAGGCTCATGGGCACGACGACGGAGGAGGTGGAGGAGGTGGATGAGGAGGAGTAGGAGGAGGGCAAGGGAGGACTCGAGAGGAGGCGGAGGTGGATGGTTGAAATCCATGCCCCATGGGATGCCTCCTCCCGTCTCGCCGTCACCCCGCCTCTCCTTGCTTCCCCCCCGCCACCGCCGTGGGCCCGTGCGAGGCAGTGCGAAGAAGGCCAAGCGCACGGTGGACTACTCCCAGTGGTTGAAGCCCCACGACGCCAAGGGTGCCACCCGCGGCGCCTACACGAGCAGGGCGTACGACAACGCCAAGCGCTTGGCATCCAGCTACGGCCACAGCGACGACGCGATCGTGAAGATCGCCCGCAAGGCATACTCGGATGCCGCCGACGTTTGGAGCAAAGCGAACAAGGCGGGTGGCAGGAAGTAAGGCCTTGTACAGCAGGCCCTCCTCTCTTGACCCTCGCCATAACGGCGAGACGTGCTTGCCCCTTTGCTCGCGCCTGCGCCGTCTTACTTACACTATGTGGTTCTGTGTGCAGTAGGTGCAGATAGCGAGCATCCGCAGGCATGCTTCAGGCAGCTGCTCGTATGTAAAACACGAGCGGCTCCAGACACGCAGATTGGACCCCAGGCCATCACTGCGCGAGTGCGAATAGAAGCTTCATCGGTACCGTCGCCACCGCCATCATCGCCATCAGCGCTGCTATGCAGCGCCGTGCTATGTCATGCTACATTACATGTACAATGGTCGGCAATGCTACGCTATGCGACTCAGCTCAACGCCATGGTACATGCTATGATATGCTATGCCATGCTATGCGATTCAGCTATGGGCGGCAATGCAATGCTATGCGATACGCGGGGCTGTGCTATGCGACGCTATGCCATTAGGTGCAAGGCTTGCTTTGCACTGCATTGCGCATCGTGGAATTGGCACGGCCATGCATGGCATAGTATTGCCCCTTCCCCTCCTCCTCCCCGCTCACCCGTCCACCTCCCCCTCGTGCCTAACGCCAGGGCAAGTGTTGCGCGGGGCCATTCGGTGCTGACAGGGGGTTCGGACAAGCCGGCTTTTTTTGATGGTTTTTTGCAGGCTCGCATGTTGGGGTGCACCCCCTCCCCCAATCGGTCGGGCTTTTGCGGGGCGCTCGAGGCGTTCCCGAGATCACGACGCATGGCGCGCTACAACGAAGCCGTTTTGGCTCAAGCCGATGACGGAAGTCAAGAGGCGCAGACTTGCTCACCTCGGCCGCGACGCTCACGTGAGCGCCAGCGGGTTGGAACACCTTCTCAGACAGCTTCGGGATGAGGGCGGGGTGATCCCCGCAGCATTCTCATCTTCAAGCCAACGGCGGGCGAGGCAGTCAGTGGCTTTCCAGAGCACCACGTTCGGGAAGTTGATTCAGCAGCGGTCCGTCCCAAGCAAGACGGTCGGCAAGCCCGTCCAATTGTTCTTCCAGCATCCTTTTGCTTTCTTGGAGGCCGCGTGCAAGACTTGCGCGGAGTTTCGGGCCATCCTGACGAGGGTGTTGGACGACTCCAACAACCGTGTATCCATCTGTTTATACACGGACGAGATTACGCCTGGTCAGGCTTTGCAGCCGCACAACACCAGGAAGACACAAGCGGTCTATTGGACCCTGAAAGAGTTCGGGTTCCCCATCTTGAGTTGCGAGCTGGCCTGGATGACCATCTGCGCGCCGAGGACGGACACCGTGGCGGAGCTTCGTGGTGGAATGGCAGAGCTGTTTCGGTATGCGGTCAAGTTTCTCTTCGGGGGGCCGAGCGGCCACGACTTGCGCAACGGCATCTCCCTGTTCATCGAGGGTGAAAATTCTCCTCGGCTCGTGACGGGATGCACGGGGATGCTCGTCCAGGACGAGCGCGGCCACAAGTTTTCGACGGGGGTCAAAGGATCTGGCGGGATCAAGATCTGTGCCCTTTGCAAAAACATCGCAGCGTTCAAGTGCACGTACCTGCCCGACCCCACTGGCTTCCTCATCCCGTCGACGGAGCTCGACGTTTCGTTGTTCAGGTTGCATTCGGATGAAGGGGTGAAGGCGATCCAGAGGGGATTGCATGACGTGGCGACGAACGGCACGAAGAGCGAGTTGGAATCTTTGGAAACGTTGCTCGGATTTAACTACATACCGACTGGGCTGTTGCAGGATTCCGATATCGATTTCAATTTAACCAGTTGCTGGTGCTATGACTGGATGCATTGCTACTGCATCGGCGGTACGCTCGCAAAGGAGGTGTCAGCGTTTGTGGGACGGCTCGGTGACCACGGTTTGGGAGGCGATGTTATCGACAGATATCTTCAAGTATGGCACTGGCCCAACGCGTACGCCCACGCCAAGCCCGTCTGCCGCAAGCACGCTGACCATTCGCCGACTGGCTCGGCGTCCGAGCTGCTGTCCTTCTGCCCCGTGTTGGCGCAGTATGTGGAGGCCGTCGTGATGAGGAAGGGCGTGTGCGTTGCAGAATCGGCCAGCTTTCTTGCCCTGGCTCGCGTGATGGAGTTGTTGACCATTGTGAACAGCGGCGGCGTTAGGGCCGAGGAGCTCGCAAGGGCCATACACGGCCATCTGACGCTGCACCAGGCGGCGTACGGTTTCACTATGTGGAAAGCGAAGGAGCACTACTTGCTACACATACCGTCCATTCTAGATCTCCACGGCATGATCATATCGACCTTCATGCGCGAACGCAAGCACCGCGTTCTGAAGAGGGTCATGACACCCAGGCACCTTTTGACTTCTTTCGACCGCTCGGTTCTAGAAGAGGTCACAGTACAGCACCTCTACGATTTAGGCCGCCACGCAATCGATCGGCCAACTCTGATAAATTTGAAATTGCCAAGCAAGAGGGCCATGTCTGCGTTTTTGAAAGCTTTTCCTTTTGCACAGGGTTGCCAAGTTCACATGGCGAACTCCGCATACGCCCAGGGTAGAGTAGTACAGTGTAGGGACGTCTGTACTCTGTTGGGGGAGGATGGGCTCGTTTGGTTTGGTAAGGTGCAGTTCTTCTGCACCGTCGGCGGATGGCTCGGGTGCTGCGTGTCCCAGTGGCCGATTGTAAATTCGGCGGGCGGGTGCGCGAAGTGCACCGTGGGGGATCACGGAATTTTAGTGCCCCTCCATCACTTACAGGAGCCGTGCGTTTTCAAAGAGGCCGCAGTGGGCCAGGTTGCCAGTATAATATAGCCTCCGAAGCTTAAGCATTCGGGGGCTCGTCTTCGCAGCGTGTGAACACTTGATGAAGCGTGTGGGGCGTACACACTTCAGACAGCACTGAAAATCGTCAAGGGCTTGCGCCCGTCCCCCGCCGCCCAGCAAACTCCTGCTCCTCCTCCCCCTCCTCGCCTGCCTCTCCTCCCCCTCGTCTTCCTCGCCTCTCCTCCCTCTCCTCCCTCTCCTCCCCCTTTTGTCTCCCCTCTCTTCCCTCTCATCCCCTTCCTCCTGCTCTTCCTTTCCCCACCTCCTTCATGGGGCCCCGCTGGGACTCTGTTGGTACCCCGTGGGCCTTCTTGGGGCCATCTTGAGGCCGTCTTGGCCCCCCTTTCTGGGACCCCTTGGGATCCCTTCCTGGTCTCGTCAGGGCTGGCGCCCCCCCCGCCACCCCGCACTTTCCTATATCGAGGCTCGCGCTTCCCCGCCGAACCCGAGTGTTCTTATACCTGCAGGGCTGACGCCCTGTCCGCTGCCCCGCGTCCCCGCCCTTAGAGAGCGAAACGTTACGGTGAACACCGAGTGTTCATATCCATGCGTAACCAAGTTAGCGCGGCTCGCTAACCACATAGCTTGGTTACTTAACTTGCTTCGTAACTTGATTATAGGTCGGTTCTAACATGGTGCTGCTAACCTCGCTTTCTTAAGTCGGGTAACTGGTTAGTATGCAGCATACAAGTAAGCCAAGCACTAAGTAAGTGCAGTGGCGCGCCCAGCAGGGGCCCTCGCCGGGCCTCGGGGGCGTCAGGGAACGACTCGGGACGAAACGCTGGTCCTGGGGAGTGGGTCGAGACTTCCGGGGGCCCCGTCTTGGAAACATCACGACGTAGGATCTCTGGGCACGCGTCAGGCGGGGTGCGGCTCGAGCCGTGTGCGCGTCGGGCCGGGTGCGCATCGGGCGGGGTGTGAATCGGGCCGGGCCGAGTCGGGCCGGGTGCGATCGTGCCGAGAAGGAGCAGCGCAGAGGCGGCGTCGGACCAGCGACGCGTCAGGCGGAGTGCGGCTCGAGCCGGGTGCGAGTCGGGCCGGGTACGAATCGTCCCGGGTGCGAATCGGGCCAGGCCGAGTCGGGTCTGGTGCGGGTGAGGTCGGGCCGAAACGGGCCGGGTGCGAACCAGGCCGGGGACGAGTAGCGCCGCTTCCCGATAGGTCGGTTCGCGTCGTGTCGACCGGCGGCGACCCCGCCGCCGGCGTTCAACGTTGAACACCGCCGGCTGCCCAGAATCGGTGGATTTTGAACGATCTGACATATCGGAAACGGCCGATCTTTCAAGGTGGAACGATCCCCGCGGTGTTAGGAGCCAATGCTGGGGTCGACGCGACACGAACCCGCGGTACAGTTTTGGTCGGCGGGTCGAGAGCGGGCCTCTTCCGGTTAAGAGCTAGGCGGGGCGCGCGAAGCACTGATTGGGGAGACGGCGCGGGCGGGCGGGGCCTCAGGCGGCCGGAGGGTGCGGGGTACAGGCGGTGCCGAAGAGTTTGCACAGGAAAAGGTACGCCTTGGACAGGAGCCGGAGGCGAAGTCCCGGAGGGAGAGCGAAGTGGTCACCCGCGGTGCAGTCAAGACGCTGAATTCAGGACCGCGGCGGGTTCGGAAGGGGCGGGCTCGCTGTTCCCCAGGTCCTTCCGCCCAGACCCCCGCCATCATGATTTTTAAGGTTCGCCCTGAGGGTGCGAAGATGGCGGCGCTGCGCCCACCTCGACTCGGGTTGGAGAGGCGCCCGCCCCCCTCCAGGTGCGGCGGCGCGGGGGCGCGAGGGCAGCCGCGCAGCGCACGGCGCGCAGTGCGATGGCCTCGAAGACGACCAAGATGGCCCAGGATGGCCTCCAAGAGGTTTCGAAAACGGCCAAGATGGCCTCCAAGACGGCTAAGATGGCCCCGTTCTGCCTGGGCTTGCCACCGCTGTTTGCAGTGCCCGTCCTGGACCTGGATGGTCCAGTGCTTGTGTGACGCGTGCAGCGGGAGCTCGCGCCAAGTTCTAGGCTGGGCCTCGTCATTTTCCTGGCAGCCCTGTCAGGCCAAGCCGAGTCCCCCGAACCCGAGTCTTATCGGCATCACCCACTCATGCATGTACAGTGGGGGCCCATGCCAAGGAAACACTCTGCCTGCCTCCAGGGGGCTCCGGGTTTCTTGGGTTTAGATAGCTTTGCCACGAAAGGCGTGACGTCCCCACGCCGAAAAGCGATGGACGTCCCG